AGAAGAAGTAGCTACATTCTTTGCAAAAATGCTCGATCATGAATATACTACTAAGGAAATATTTAGGAAAAATTTCTTTAAGGACTGGAGAAAGGTATTGTAGCTCATGTATTCATATCCTAGCACCTTGCAAAAATATTGATCAATTACTAAGTAATAAACTATAATTTTACAAAAAATTCCCTAGTGTAAAATTTGAGTTTTATTAATTTTATTGTATTAAAAGTTATTTATTTTTGCTCATTTACCATATTATATAAGGTTTCTGGCCAACAAGAATGCTTAACATTTCTTCCCTCCCAGCCAGCTGTCATATGGCTGCAGGAGGGAATTTTATCAGATTAGGCCAAACAGAAACCCTCAGCTCCAGTTGAGCGAGAGAAAGTTTGTGTCTGTAGGGTTGCCCTCTCTCTGCTGTTGCAAAGGGAGATCTTAAAGTGATGTGCCTCCCAGTCCCTCCTGATTCTTGATTATTTGCTTTAGGTACTTTCTGCTCTTAAAACCACATATCCTATGTCTGCCTAGGTGATTTTAAACAATCTCGTGATCCTCAATTTGAATAATGTGGATGGAGGCTGAGCTGAAGTTTATATTCTGAATAGCTCTGGAAATAAGACTTAATAAATAAATAGGGCAGGGATGGTGTTTCTGAGAGAGAATGAGTATGGGGATATTTCTGTCATTACTGAAACAAATGACATGTATTCATGTATCTCCAACTGCGATGTTCCTATTCCTAGGGGATTGTGGCAGTGTGCCAAGGAATCCAAGACACTATTGTAAGAGTTACCTTTTTAAATGATAAGTCGTTTTAAATATTTTTGTATCGAAAACATAATTTATAATAGAACAAAGTCATAAAATTATATTTCTTTTTTCAAAACTCACTAATTTACATTGACTACTGCTCCAGATACCTTTGACTGAAAAAATGCTGCTTTACTGTAATTGCAAGGAAACTTGGGGGCTTAATAGTGCATTTACTTTCTTCTATCTCCCCTTCATTTGACTAGGAAATGACTAATGAAGAGAAGAATATTATCACCAACCTTAGCAAATGTGATTTTACCCAGATGAGCCAGTATTTCAAAGCCCAGACGGAAGCTCAGAAACAGATGAGCAAGGAAGAGAAACTGGTACCATTTCTTAAACCTCTGGAGGGTTTTGGAATAGTGATTAATTCATCCGATTTTGATTTTGGTTCTTATGACACACCTTTGATTTTAGTAATTTCACATGGCTCTCTACTAAAAATTTAGGTGTCTCAACCAAGTAAAGTCTAAATTTTCTTCAGGGTTGTATGTAGGCTTAAAATTGTGAATAAGCAGTTTGTTTAATGGCTTAATATAAGAACCCTGGTGCTCTACTTACCTAAAAACTAGTCAGTAACTCAAATACAGTATTTAAAGATGGGCAGACCTGCCACACACTGGCTCCTGGATAATAGGGATTTATAACAGATAAAATAATAAAGCCATGTACCTCCCTGTTCTTTGATCTGCGTGACACTGGAATCCAGCCAGGCTCATCCGTATCCATCTTCCAGCCTTGGCCATCGTCACTCCTGAAGGATATTTCCAGCATCCAGCTGGGATGTCATATAGGAGGCAAACTATAGGCTGCCTGTTTGGTAAAACGCTTTTATTGGAACACAGCCACATTTCCTCGTGTACATGTTATCTGTGGCTGCACTCGTGTAACAGTGGCAGAGCTGAGTAGTCTCAACAGAGACCAGGTGGCCCTCAAGCCTAAAATATTTTCTGTCTAGAAAATGTTTCCCGGGGCAGGCCGCGTGGCGTATTGGTTAAGAGCTGGCTTGGGACGCCAGAGGGCCCCAGTTCGGATCCCACATATGAGGGCCAGTGACACTGCCCTCCACAGCTAAGATACTGA